GACAAGCAAGTGAGGGTCATCATACTGCCGCTCCCTGATACGATCAAATAAGGAAAACCGAGAAACCACGCAAGCTAGAACCCGACTGGGCTCCGAAAGATCCAATCTCACAAACTAGCTGGCTAGGGTCTGAACATCCATTGCCATAGGTCTCTCCGATGCTGGTAAATCAACCAAACTCCCCAAACTCTCTGCCCAACGACTCAAGTCATCGGCTACCACTTTGGCCTTACCCGGGTGATGCAAAATGGTGATATCATAATCCTTCAGCAACTCTAACCATCTCCTCTGGCGCAAATTTAGATCCTTTTACTTGAACAGGTACTGCAAGCTCTGATGGTCAGTATAAATCTCACAGGGAACCCCGTATAAATAATGGCGCCAGATCTTCAGGGCGTGAACAGTGGCAGCTAACTCAAGATTGTGGACAGGGTAATTTTTCTCATGTATCTTCAACTGTCAGGACGAGTAGGAAATCACCCTACTGTCTTGCATCAACACTGCTCCTAGGCCAATCCTCGAGGCATCACAATAGACTGTATAAGACCCCGACCCTATAGGCAGTATCAAAATTGAGTCAAAGCTGTCTTGAGATTCTAAAAGCTCGCCTCACACTCTTTCATCTACTGGAACGGAGCACCCTTCTAGGTCAGTCTGGTCATAGGGGCTGCAATCGATGAAAACCCCTCAACAAAACGACGGTAGTAACTCGCCAAGCCAAGAAAACTGCGGATCTCTATAGCTGGGGATGGTCTGGGCCAACTCTACACGACCTCTATTTTCTTCGGATCCACCTGAATACCCTCACTCGATACCACGTAGCCTAAGAATGCCACGGAAGCTAACCAAAACTCACATTTCGAGAACTTAGCATATAACTTCTTCTCTCTCAGAGTCTGAAACACAGTCCTCAGGTGCTGCTCATGATCTTCCCGACTCTGGGAATATACCAGAATATCATCAATAAAGACAATGACGAATGAGTCAAGATACGTCTGGAACACACTGTGCATCAAATGCATAAAGGCTGCTGGGGCATTGGTCAGCCCAAATGACATAACAAGGAACTCGTAATGACCATACCGAGTCCTGAAAGCAGTCTTCAGGATATCTAGCTCCCGAATCTTCAACTGATGGTAACCTGAGCGCAAGTCAATCTTAGAAAACACCCATGCACCCTGAAGATGGTCAAACAGATCATCAATACGAGGCAAAGGATAACGATTCTTAACTGTAACTTTGTTCAACTGGCGATAATCAATACACATATGCATAGAACCATCCTTTTTCTTCACAAACAAGACAAGAGCACCCCAAGGTGATACACTAGGCCGAAAAAACCCTTATCAAGTAATTCTTGTAACTAATCTACAACTCCTTCAACTCAGGAAGAGTCATACGATATAGAGGAATAGAAATGGGCTGAGTGCCCAACAACAGATCAATGCCAAAATCAATATCTCTATCGGGCAGAATGCCTAGAAGATCAACTGGAAACACATCGGGAAAATCCCGTACTACTGGCACTGAATCAACTGAAGGGGTATTAATACTGATATCTCTCACATAAGCTAAATACGCATCACAACCCTTCTCAACCATACGCTGAGCTTCAAGAAAAGAAATAACTCTACTGGGAGTGTGATCTAAAGTACCCCTCCACTCAACACGCGGTACACCTGGCATAGCCAGCATCACGATTTTGGCGTGACAATCAAGAATAGCATAATGGATCTACAACCAGTCCATGCCCAAGATAATGTCAAAATCTACCATGCTGAGCAACAATAAATCGACTCTGGTCTCAAAACCACTAAGATCAACCAAACACGACCGATAAATGCGGTCCACAACAAGAGAATCTCCCACATGAGTAGAAACATAAATAGGGGAACTCAAAGAATCCCTAGATACACCCAAATGCGGAGCAAAATAAGAAGATACATAAGAATAAGTGGAGCGTGGATCGAATAGAACCGATGCATCTTTGTGACGAACTAGTATAATACCTATGATGACAGAATCTAAGTCAACAACCTTGGTGCGGTCAGGAAGGGCATAGTATCTGGCCTGGCCTCCCCCTCTAGGGCAACCTCTACCTCCCCGACCTCCACCTCTAGCTGGCTGAGCAGGTGGGGAGCAATTGGAGCTGTAACCATGGCTTTAGAACTCTGCGGGGCACGCTATAGCTGAGAAGTCTGTGGAGGTGCACCCCTCCCAAGTCTAGGGCAATCCCTCACCATATGGAGTGTGTCACCACACTCAAAACAAGCTCTAAGAGGATATGGTGGCTGTGACTGGCTCGGGCCAAGTCTGCTGGACTAACCTCTGAAAGCACCCCGCGCAGGAGGCGCGCTAGATACTGGAGGTGCTAATAAGGCTCGTGAGGTCTAGGAGGAGCTGGAATACCACTAGCTACTGGAAGAGCTGAATGAATAAGGTGACTCATATAACCCTACCATGACAACTTGCTGCTGGGGCATGGGCACCAGAGAAATGGCCCGACTCTCGAGACCTCTTGGCCTCCCTCTTCTCTCTCTCCCTAGCATGCATATCCTTAGTCCTCCTAGCAATGCTCACCACCTGCTGATAAGAAATGTCCATCTCCAACTCACGAGCCATGCTAGAACTGATGCTGGGAATAAACCCCTCAATAAACCGGCGAACCCTCTCGTGAACAGTAGAAACCAAGGCTGTGTCATGTCTAGCCAAACTAGTGTAACAAATAGCATACTTTGAGACAATCATAGCACCCTGGCGCAAGTTCTCAAACTCTATGCGCCATACATCCCCGAGGCTCTGAGGAACATACTCTCTCAGGAATAGATCTGAAAATTGAGTCTAAGTCAGTGAAGCAGCCTCATCCGGACTGTCTAACTCATAGGTGCGCCACCACTCATAGGCAACTCCTCAAAGCTAGAAAGTAGTGAAGGAAACCCCGCTCGATCCTGATATACCCATAGTACGGAGAATGCGGTAGCACTCATTTAGAAATCCCAGAGCATCATCCGATGCTCGACCGCTGAAAATAGGAGGCTTGCACTTTTTGAACCTCTCAAGGCTCAGCTGCTCTTCCTCGAAAGCCGCTGCCCTGTCCTTGGGCTGATCTCAGACTACAGGCTGTATATGAATAATCTTAGGGACCTGATCAACATGCACTCGCTGCTCAGGAGTGCAGGCGGTGGGAGTCTGTGCTCCTCCCCCAGCCTGAGACGTAGCTGTAGCAAGGGGAAACATCCCTGCCTGAGCCAAAGTGGTGTACATGCTCATGAACTGTGCCAGAGTCTCCTGAAGTGCTGGAGTAGTAGTAGCAGTAGGCGTATTAGGTGCCTGGGCTACAGCTAGATCTGCTGGTAATGCCTTGGTGGCAGCTCGCGTAGGTGCTCTGGCTGCACCGCGTGTACGTCCTCGGCCTCTACCCCGACTCCGGCCTCTAACGGCTGCAGTAGAGGGCGCGAGTGCCTGATCATCTCGGACAGCGTGTGTCCTCACTATCTATTAAGGCAAATAAGTAATTCTAGCCTAGCACGCTACACAGAATTTAGGTAAGGCAATTTGAGCAAGTAAAGCAGTTAAATCACTTAGACATGCTTTCCTAAGCTAACAACAGGCTTAATAGTGCAAGTAATGAAAACATAGAAGGAAACATACTAGTAATTACTGAATAAAAATCGGATTTCCAACAATTAACACTAGTACGCACTCATCACCTCACGTACAAGGAATTTTAATTACCAAATATACCAAATCCTAAAGGGAAGGTCCCCACACAAGGTTAGGCAAGCAACTTACCTCGAACCAGCTCAAAATCAACTCGAAATCACGTTCTTGCTATGAGTATTCGACTCCAAATGGCCCAAATCTATTCGGTTCAATTTCATAATATAAATAACACTTAAAGTAACTGATTCTACAATTAAATTCTAAGCTAATACGCAAAATTAGGTAAAATGACCAAAATGCCCCTCGGGCCCACGTCTTGGAATCGGGTAAAATTTATATTTTCAGAATCCTCACACTCTCACGAGTTCATGCATACCAAAATTATCCAAATCTAAGGTCAAATTCCCAATCAAAAGTCGAATGCTAGGTCTAAGAACTTTCTTCTAAATTTTCCCCAATTTTCACCTCCAATCTGAAATTAAATGATGAAGCTAACTATAGATTGATGGAATATAACTAGAAAGGGTTAAAAAATTGTTACCCAATGACCTCCTCTTCAATTTCCTATCAAAATCGCCCTCTCTGGAGCTCCAAATCGAATTTCTAACTTTTGAAACTAAACTCTCGAAATTTCATATTTCTGCCCAGCTATTACCGCTTCTGCGGTCAAGGGACCGGATCTGCTGTCCCGCTTTTGCAGAACAATGGCCACACCCGCAACCTTTCACTTAAGACCAGCTTCCGCATCTGCGACTCCTCATCCGCAAATGCGGTACCGCTTCTGCAGAAATTCTACCGCTTCTGCGACTCCTACTGAACCCCCCCATTTCCATTTCTGTGACTGTGAGTACGTGATTTTTTGCCTCACATGAATTAATCCAAAAGAATTCCCGAAAGTAGGTCTTTTCTTTAATTATGTGTTATTTTAGGAATTAATGTGTGATTTTCCCGATTGTTTGCATATTTTTGTGTGCATATTTAATTTTATTAATGCATTACAAAACACAAAAATATAGCATTTGCATTTAGGATTTGATTTTACATTTTTGGTTTTTTTTAGTAAATTGTTGTTTTACAAAAATCACAAAAAATAACGTTTTCTGCATTTTAGTGTTTAATGTCAAAATTTTGTGATTTGGTATTTAATTATTGGTGATAATTATTATATAGAGTTAATTAGTATATTTTAAGTTAATTTGGGTTTTTACAATTTAATTTAGGATTTTAGTTTTAATTTTTGAAAAAAAAGGAAGAAAAGAAAAGAGAAAGAATTAATAAAAGATAAGAAAATTGGAATTGGGCCAAGTTTTAATTTAATTCTTCAAGCCCAAGTCAAATTCTCCCATACCCATCCAAAACCCGTAACCCGTTTTCCCCAGACCCCTGAAGCTCGTCTTCTTCGACGAGACTAGCCTCACCAGCTCCTCCGTTCACCAAGTCTCGCTAGAAATGGCAATCAGCAGTGACGAAAGGCCATGGACGTGACTGAAACCTTTGTTAATCGTCTGAGTTTTCCGGCAAGGCATTTGATTTTCGAGTCGAAGTCCTAGCCGCCGATTCAGGGAATGGTTCGAGGTCTGATTCAGTTACTGCTCAGCAACGCACACACACACCTATCGTCTTCTTCACATCACAACTGGATGACCCCAGCCCGCCACCAACAGACTCGTCGCAGACTCCAGCAGTTCCCAGTTGTGTCTCTTTTCAACTTCCTCACTCGAGAGACCATCCCTTTAAAAAAAACAAAAAAATATTCTGGTTTTCTTCTTTCATTTTTCCGACTTTCGTCTCAAAATCAGAGGCATTGTCTTTCAATTTTCGTTCCAAAATGGAGGTCAGTAGAGTTTGTATGTGGATTTGAAATTGATTGTGCCGATTCGAGGTCCGTTTTTGAATTTTGTGGCTGTTTCGGTGAGTTTCGAGATCGGGTCATGGTTCCGTTCGAGGTTTTTGATGAAGCTCTAGTTCTACAGTTTGAGGACATCATTTGGTTAGTATTTCAGGAATTTTTACAATTGTAAAGGTTCGATATTATTTCAGATTTTCATTAGTGCTTATACTCTTTATTTGCTCTTTGGTTGAAATTCCTTCACATGTTCCAATTAGTTATGTTCTTGATACATTCTGTTGCGGATTGTTTGTGTGAGTTTTGTTATTTTAATCTGATTCTTTTATGGTTTAAATTTTTGAGCACTTGATTCATTGGGGTTGAGTTAAGATAGTCATGGCCCTTCGATTATATAGACCTGAACCCATTTAGTTGAATTAGCCTAAGAATTGTTTAATAAAAGGGATTATCTACCTAACCAACTAAAGAAGCTTCTAGTAGTGGTAAGGATTAGATTTCACTATTGAAAAATTTAATTCAATAAGGGTTGAGTGGAATCAATTTTTAAAATGTTGAAAGGCCATTTTGTGATTCAAAAGGGCATTTCCATTTGACTTTTTAAGACACATACACTGAGTTCATACAGAGGGGAGAGAGAGTCCAAAGAAGAAGAAAAGAAATAGAGAGATTCTTAAGAGATAAAATCCATAAAAAAACCACTGGCATTTACTATTTTATTGATCTTTCTTCAAGACTTTCTGATTTTCTTCAATTTCTTAAGATAAAGGTTTCCTATTCTGATATTTGAAAAAAAATGGATTGATGTTTGGTGGTTGGAAAATCTTTTTGATCAAAATCTGCTCAGAGTCACTGTGCTATTGGTATCTGATTTCAATTTCTGAGGTTCGAGAGTTATTGAACCTATTCTGGTTCATCTGGGCTTGCAAGTATTTTAAGTCAAGGGTTGTGGTTTAGTTCTTTGCCGTTTGATCTGCTGTCACTGCTTCTCCTGATTCTCAGATTGATTTTGGTTCTATCTCTTGTCATTATTCAGGTACACGCTTCTATATTCCACCTAATGTAAAACTTGGTTTGGAATCAAATGGAAATATGGAGATTTGAGTAGTAGTTGTGTTTGTAGTTTAGTTTACTTGTTAAGAAGAATTGCTTATTGTCCATTACCCCTGTTTAATTGTTTCTCTTTCTTTAGGTCTGTTTGAGTTAGATTTGGATTGAATTTTTAGTCATATGCATACTGCCTTGTGATTGTGGTGATGTATGAGTTGAATGGAGGCAGTAAGTAAGATGTTGTGTTCCTGCTATCTGAGCTATGAATTGTACTCCATTTTAATCCCTTTTCTTCTCATTGACCAGTTTCTTGTAGCACTGTTTGTTTGATACGTTTTGACATGATATTTCCATATGCTATTTGTAGTTACTAATGGAAATTTAGTTAAATGTGAGTTTGTTCTAATATTAAGTAGAACCTATTAGTTTCATGGGAAAATACTTCTAAAGGTCATATTTGGTGTGAACTTTGCAAAAACAATTGGTTTTGGGCATCACATTTATATAAGATATAGAGAAAGAAAGCTGGAGAGAGCTAAGAAATAGAGATATATGGGTTTAGGAGAGTAGTAAAAATGCACTAGAGGAGATCAACCGCAATAGAGTTGGAACACCAAAAGAACATCCTTAGACTCCCTTTCTTCTTGAACAAAAATGAATCATGCCTGAGTTTGCTTAAGAATTCTGGACAACCATGTAGAAGCTCCAAGACCTCACCTAAAATCAACCGTTACACCCAAGGAGACCCTTCTTCTCCAAAGAGACCTTAGGATCTAAGGGCTGAAGAAATCAACCAACAATCAGACCAAAACCAATGACCCTTAAGCCCATCTTCTCCAACCTGCAACAGTCGTTGCTTCTTCTTCTTCACCCGGATCTTGAGCACGACCAAAACAAGATTAAAACTGACTCCAAACCAGCCCCTTACTCCAACTGAAAAACAGCCGCTCAAACAGCCATGAGAATCCCTTTATCTCCATCAAATCACAGCAGCCATCCTCCTCAGTAAAGGGCTGCACAAGCCTGCTGCAATCGGCATAAAAACAGCCTTGAAACTAGCTTCTTTCGAGTTAAAATCAACTCCAAAACGTAGCTGAAATCTCTGTCTCCAACAGCTGTAAAACTGAGTCGTGAAGCCATTCCAAAACCACTAAAAATCTGCTGCGAATCTGTTGAAAAATAGTCCCAAAACCCTTCAGCATATTCACTCCTCTCCGATTCCCCATCAAACCCCTCACACTATAGAACTTTCCTTCATCTTATACATATCCTCACTCATGCGAAAGCATGCTGAAAATTGTTAGAAGCAACTGAGAAGAGTTCTGAAAACTCAAAAGGTTCATTTAGGATTTGAAATACTGAAAAGCTTCAAAAAAAAAGGAAGAAAATAGGAGTGCAAGGGATATTTGCAAGGATTTATTTTCTGCTCCTTAGCTTAGCATTTCTGGATTCGAAACTCTGTTAATGTTTGCTCGATTCTGCTGATTTTGCAGTTGTATTGTTGATTTGCAGAGCTTTATTTCCGAATATGTTTGTTCGTCTTTAAGCTGCTGTTTCAACTCGATTCGGAATGGTAAAAAATGTTAATTATTAAATTTGTGAAGCAATTGAACCTTCTTATTCATAAAAATGTGATTTAAGTTTTATGTCAATCTACTTTGAATCACTGTCTTCGCAACATGATTCTGTTATCTTCCAGTTAATTTGATTGCTAAACTAGTATCAACTGAGTATGATGAAATGACAGATTATGTGATGTGCTTAATTAACTGCTGGCCAATTTATTTTATTGCCGTCGGATGGAATTATGAGGCGTTGTAATTGTTGACTTCAATGGATGGCTGTTACTACTGACTAAGAATGCGCTAAAGTCATTTAGCAATTCTTCGTGGATTATTAACATTGACAAACCGGGCAGATGTAAAAATTAAAACTCTTTCACCTTTTGTCTTGTTTTAGTTCTTTGTGATTAGAGTGGTAAGTTATACGACCCCTTTATTGTTTGTCGAGTTCCGCTTTAGTGATTTGAGAGTTGTGAGGAGTTGGGTGTATTTGCTGTTATATGGGTTTTCAATATCGGGTCTACATGGAAATGCTGCATGTAAGTCTGATTTTTTTTCTTTTCTTTAGGTAAATAAGAAAGACCCTTCCAATTGATAAAATAAAGTACTCACGTCAAGAAATAAATATAGAAAAGGTGCTTGCTGGTCAATGTTAAGTAAATAAATTGTGCGCCAAAGATGTTACTCTCTTTTAGTTGCTTTGGCAGTCTAGATTGTATAACTTCAATGATGCTATATGATATTAGTTGGGTACAATCTTTTGAAATTAGAATCGAGGTGTGCCATCCGTTGAATTTTCCATAGCCCTTGCAAACTTGAAAGTGCCTAGTTGTTTTAGGCGCGCTATTTAAAATTACTTCCCTAAACTCGGGTGCACATTTATGTGACCCAAATCCAAATTTCAACAATGTTATATAAAATGTGTCGTGAACCACGGGTGCATTTCATGTAGTGTGGCTTATGATGTGTTTTAAATAACTTTGAATTTTTCCCGAAATATTAAAAGCGGCTAAAACATTTTTTTTTGTTTTTTTTGCTTTTTTGTTTTTTGCTTTTTGCTTTTAGTACCAATTATGGGTATGTATGATCCATTTTCACGTTAGGACCATTTTGAAAGATCACTAAATGAAAAAATGTTAGAATAAGATTTTAATTTAATCCCAATAATTCATCTCATATTTTTGTTTTAGTAGCCTCTTTGTTAATTAATTTCACATTAAGACTTTGGTACAAAAGCATCTGCACTATGTTGATCCGTACTTGTTCATTATATTATAGTAATTCATATGTGGGGATGTATATTTGTATGATCTAAAGAAAAAGAAAAGGAAAATAGTCATACTTAATTACTTACCTAATTGATACCACTGTTACTGCTGCTTGTAATTCAAAGTAAGAAAAAGAAGATTAACGCAATAGATGGTTGATTAGTCATGAAGATCGTTTGTTGATTTGTCCATGTGGTTATCCAATTTAGGAATAATAATAATTCAAGAACATCGTAGTTTGCTTTAGGCTTGATTTAAACTAGTACTGTGATTATGTATACGTTCGCATAACATAATTGCGAATTTAATTCTAAAAAGTAACTCGAGGGATGCGTTCGCGCAATTTCAACCAAACCTTTCTTAATATAAATAAACCAAGCGTTATTAATTGTGGACATGTTTGCGTGACATGATTTTTTGACGCGCCAAAAGAAAAGAGTATACATGCGCGTAACTCAATTCTTTAATTACAAAGTATAAATCACTAAGCGACCATGCTAGAACCACGGAACTCGGGAATGCCTAACACCTTCTCCCGGGTTAACAGAATTCCTTACCTGGATTTCTGTATTTACAGACCAATAAATAAGAGCAAACTTCCTCGATTCGGGATTTTAACCGGTGACTTGGGACACTATAAATTATTCCAGGTGGCGACTCTGAATTTTAATTGAAATAATTAATCCCGTTTCGATTGTCACTTAAATTGGAAAAAACTCCCTTATATACACCTTTATAGGGTGTAGGTAAAAAAGGAGGTGTGACAGTGACCACAAAGCTGCTTTTGCAGCACCGCACCTGCGGTCCTATAGTCGTAGGTGCAGTTATGACAAAAAACCAGCAGCTGTAGCTGCAACTCCTGTGAGCACGTGATTTTTGCCTCATACGAATTACTCCAAAAGAATTCTCAAAATTAGGTCTTTTCTTTAATTATGTGTTATTTTTTAGGAATTATTGTGTGATTTCCCTGATTGTTTACATATATTTGTGTGCATGTTTAATTTTATTAATGCATTAAAAATACAAAAATATAGCATTTGCATTTAAGATTTGATTTTTATATTTTTTGGAATTAATTAATAATTAGGTGTTTTACAAAAATGAAAATTCAAAATATAATAACATATTTTTGTAATTTTAGTCAAATTGTTGTGATTTTCTTTTAATTTGGCTTTTAATTATTTGTAATAATTATTAGTTGGTGTTAATTAGTATTTTTAAGTTAATTCGGGTTTTATAATTTAATTAGGATTTTAGCTTTAATTGTTGAAAAGAAAAGGAAAAGAAAATTGAAAAGGAAAAGAGAATAAGAAGAGGAAAATCTGGTTGGGCCAATTTGGCCAAGCCTAAAACCAAAACTCAGCCAAACCCAGCCAAAATACCAGCCCATACCCGTCCCAACCCGGTCCGTCTCCAGCCTCAACCAAACGACGCCGTTTTGAGCATCTCAATCTGGACCTTTGATTTGATGAGATCAAACGGTCCAGAATCTCTCCCACAACCCGAACCTGACCCAATCCCTGAACTGATCCAACCCCAGAACCAAAACGACCCCATTCCGTGCCCATTTGATCACAACCGTTGGATTTATATCATCCAACGGTTCACATTAATCACCCCATTTTAATAATACAAAAAACCCCCAAACGACCCCTACCCCCAAAATCAGAACCCCTCCCATCCGTCTCTCTCATCGATTCAGAGACGACCTTGTCTCACCACCGCCCTCCGCCCACCGAAAATCGCCCCACGGCGGTTCCGGTGGTCCAATCCCTCCCAAAAATACACCCCAGAACCCCCTCGATCTCCTCTTCCCAAATCCCTACTCCAAATCCTTTGAACATCCCAGGAACCCGTCAAATATCGATTCGAGTAGATGAACCCTAGCACCGCCTTAACTTTCTCCAGTGGCGGCGCCACCTCCAATCGACCCCAAACTAACACCCCTGATTCTCCTTCACCTCATCACCTCAAATCCCAAAACCATTGCCTTCGAATCTTAGCCAAATCCCTCGAATTTCAGATCGAAGATCGGACCCGAACCCTAGTTTACCCAATCAACCCCAAATCAACACCATATAATCCCCATGAACCCCTCTTTCCGAACCTCAGCATAGCTCCCCTCGAATCTCTTTCAATTGTCTCGGATTTTCAACCTGAGGTCTGAACTCTGGAGTGTTTATTCTCGAGTTTTTCTAAACTTTCCAAGGACAAGTTACCCTCAGATAATGATGGTTGCTAGTTAAAAGGAACGAGCGATTAACATTATCTTGGGGTGAGTTGGAATGTCGGTATCAATTTCAAATCTACTTGGTAAGTTGCTACTTTCTTTTGATTGTTTGTTTGTCTTTTGCGTCGGTTTAGGTCTTTCCTTCTATGTTTGTTTGAATTTGCTTAAACTTCTGGTTCATTCACTAATTATTTCTTGCCAATTTAATTGTTCATGTGTGAGGTATTTGCTGATTTTCGTTACAATGTTAAAATTTAGGTCAGAACCTTCAGGGTTTTTGACAAATAATTAGGCTGTAGAGGAGTAATTTGGAAATGAGATAGGGAAAACTCATTAAATAAAATTAGGATTGATAACCTTTTGAATTAACTAATGAAAAAGGGGAATGACAGGTTGGATTAATGCCTTTACTAGTGGAAAACCAGAAGCAACATGGGCTGTCAGGGCACGCGTAATTTAAATATCAGGCTGCCCATACCAGCTGAATAGAATAATAATAAAGGGGGGTAATGGGGTACTGAGATTCCTGTTCTAGTGTTGGAAAATCAGAGGGTGATGGGGGGAAATTGTTTCTTAATTGTTGAAGTGCTTTTAAGAGCGGGAAAAGGATGAGTTTTAGGAATATAAATACACATATACACATTCTGAAAAGGGGGAGGAGAACAAAAGAGAGTTTGAAAAGATTGAGAGAGAATTCGAGTTTTGTTTGATAGAGTTTTAAGCAATCTTGACCTGAGAACACACAGGATTGAACACATAGAAATACTGAAAAGACTACTGTCTCATTGAAGTTTTTTACAGTCTTTGAAATTTTTCTACTGCTTCATTGAATTCATTTTCTCTGATTTTTCAAGTTTCTAACTTGTTGAAGCAATCCTTGACTCATCTGGGGGTAAAAATAGATTGAATTTGGGTATTGGGGAGAGTTGGTTTAAGTTTGATTGATTGGTTTGCTGTTCTATTGAGATTTTGGTTGAACTTCAAGCTATAGTAATTGCTTTGCATCTTCTAGTTCGTGCCTGGTTGTTGAAGTTTTACAGAAGTTTCCCAGGTTAATTTTGAGGGTGTTTGGGATCAACCAGGGTTGTTCTAAGTGTTTTATCGGTGCTGTTCATCTATCCTTTGTTCCTGGGTTTTAGTGGCATTATTTTGGGGTCCCAAATTGTTCCTCTGCTGTTGAACTTGCTGTTTGCTGCTACTGACTGCTCCTTCTTCATTGTTGTAAATTCCAGGTACACATTCTCGAGATTGATTTGATGTAGCTTTTGAATTGAAATGCTGAAATAAAAGGCTCCCCTATTTACCTCTTGAAGTGCGCGCGTTCAAGTTGTTATACTAGAATAGATACTAGATAATTGGTATTTGTTTAGGTTTACTTTTGATTTGTGTTGCATAATTGGACTGGCCGAATCATTAATTTGTAATGAACTGTATTGAAATGATGAACTATTAAGTGTGAGTGTATTCATATTGAACCATTAGCTGTGTGTTTGTGTACATAGAGATGCATATGAGTTTTTTTTAGAGTACTAATTGTAATTAAACTGAATAGTTACTGTTAGTTTTAGTTAATTTCATATGTTTCATAAATCTGTCTAAAAAATATTTCAAGCTGGGATTAAGTAGGGCTGTGCTGAACTGCTTAGAACTGATTTAAATTCCAGTAGGGTGAGGTCTCAGCATGACAATTAGTTGTTTTCCTTTGAATATTCGGATTGCATAAGTGTCCTCTTGGACAGTTTTGGGCATCAATTAGCAGAACATAAGCGTTAACTAGACAAGTCAAAAATGGTTGTAGCATATTGATTAAATTCAATTTTTGTTCTATCATCAATATTACATCTTGCTTCAATTCAACCTTTGATTCTGGGCTCAAACGTGAGGCCCAGACAGCTTTGGTTCAGCTGCACAACTAAACTTGAATAATGCCTCTTAGGCCTGGCTTCTGCAACAACAAGCCCAAACTATCCAATTCTTTATGTTTTGAACAAATTGCTAAGCATGTTTCGTCTTTACTTCGTAAGTTACTGGGCTTGAATTGATTTGAAAGTGAATCATAAGGATTTGGCCTTTTATCAATGTTAATTAATTAGGACTTTTTTTTCTTTTATTATTAGAGACAAAAAAAAATAGAAAATCATAGTCGCTTTAGGATTGCCTTTTAAATAATAAAATGAGATGAGATGAGCCTCGCTAAACAAAACACATAAATTGCAGGGTCCTCGATAAATGGTTGTATTAAAATACTTATATTTCGTGATAGGCCATTTAGTGAATTTCACGGCCCTCCCCAAAGATAATAACGTATTAGTCTCTTTAAGCGCGTATTTTAATAATATTACTTTCCTAAACTCGGGTGCGCATTTATGTGACCCAAATCAAATCTCAACGACGTTAAAAAATGCCAAAAACCACGGGTGCATTTATGTGACGTGGTTCGAGACGTGTTTTAATGACGTTGCAATTGTCTTTTAAGATAATATTAATAAAAGCGGCTAAAAGTTAAAATTTGCACATAGGTTCATAATTATTTAAAATCAGATAATTAATCCATTTACAATAGTTGAGCTACCGTGCTAGAACCACGGAACTCGGGAATGCCTAACACCTTCTCCCGGGTTAACAGAATTCCTTACTTGGATTTTTTGGTTCGCGGACCGTTAAACAAAGTCATTCTTTTCCTCGATTCGGGATTCAACCGGTGACTTGGGACACCATAAATCTCCCAAGTGGCAACTCTGAATTTCTTAATAATAAATCTCGTTTCGATTGTCCTTTAATTGGAAAAACTCCCTTGCTCACCTCTCGGGGTGCGTAAAAAGGAGGTGTGACAGCTCTGGCGACTCTACTGGGGAGCGAACCCGGAATCTCTGGTTCAGGGTTCAGAATTCGAGCTTAGAATAATTGTTATTATTTGGCTTTATGTATTATCTAATTTTTATTACATATTTGGGCCTGATGTGCTAATTGTTGCTTTTTACTGTTTTGATATTATCTGAACTGTATATATAAACTACTATGAAACCCCTCTCTTCTCCCTCCTAAGGAGTGCACACTGGTCGTGACTTCTTTCTGTTAGTGTCAAATCCCAAATAGAACGAGGTTCGGACAAGTTGCAAAGCC